ATGACACTATCAACTATAAAAGCCATAAGCGCTTCACGTTGCAACCAGCAAAAATAGAAGTTGGTCTTTGGTCGGTCGTGATGACCAAATTACTTCCTTCGGCGTGAACCATGGTCAGTAGCGCAACTGATGGCTGGTTTGGCGTCCAACCAACTGACTCAGCAGATTGCTTATTTCCTCTTCATTCCGTCATGATGATACCAGTTCGGTGGAAACGTTGGAATGCTTCTAAATATAACTTTTTTTCTTGGGGTGTCAGCGGTGGCATCAGAAGAATTACAACCTCTAAAAATTTTATTTCATACGTCAATGGAGAAAAAACAAAATGTCATAAAATGTTTATTTAAAAGCTGATTTTACAAAGATATAAAACATACGTCCACGCATACGACCGTAAAAGTAGAATAAGAGACCGTTTAAGGTGAGTATCTTTCAAAATGCAATACAGTAAAACATTCCTAGTTAAAGCTTAAAACTCAAACTCATGGTGATACATCTCTAACAACCATAGTACAGTAATTATTTACAAATCGACTCAGTGGTCAAAAAGAACGGTAAACCAAAGAAACTGTTCAGACAGTGGACAGTGAAAAATACGTAACAAAAATATGTACAAGCCATTTACGACAACGACGACGATGACGGCGGCAGCGACGATAGGACACAGACAAAGAAGTTTTGGATTCTAATCGGGCCACCAGCGACCAACCCTGTATACACAATGAGATTCACATAACGACGTCACGGAGTGCTATGAAAATAATAAAGAAAAACATCAAAATAAAACGAATTAACCATCTCAACACTGTGGTACTGGAGATATAAAGCGAGGGACTGACAGGACGCAAGAAACGTTGGAAACGAAAGCGCGAGAAGCGTCGCTCCAACGGGCATTGTATCGTACATCTACATCACGCAACGTCGAAGCGCGAAAGCTGCTACACCGTCGTGTCGGCTCTGCCCGCAGACCTTTTACCCGAATCACTGAAAAATGAGTCAGCAGTTAGGCAACAAG